ACAAGTAACTAGCTTTGACGACAGAAGAGGTTTGTTGTGTTGTGTATTCGTCTTGTTTCAAATTATATGTATTACTAAACTGCGTTTAAAAATGCCACCGACCAGCAATGGTGATGTTTTATATTTACGAACACCTGTTGTAAGATTGAACGCTTTCTTTTGTCAGTTTTTGATTGGACAATTTTCTATGGATCCTTGCTTCCCCCAGATTTTGTTTGTTACCTTGCTTTGTCTCTTCTTAGTTGATTTAAAAGATTTAAACATAGTAAACTACTGTCGCGTTAATTAAGACTGTGTCAATATACATGTTAAACATAGTAAACTACTGTCGCTTTAATTAAGACTGTGTCAATATACATGTTAAACGTAGTAAACTACTGTCGCGTTAATTAAGACTGTGTCAATATACATGTTAAACATAGTAAACTACTGTCGCGTTAATTAAGACTGTGTCAATATACAAGTTAAACATAGTAAACTACTGTCGCGTTAATTAAGACTGTGTCAATATACAAGTTAAACATAGTAAACTACTGTCGCGTTAATTAAGACTGTGTCAATATACATGTTAAACATAGTAAACTACTGTCGCGTTAATTAAGACTGTGTTAATATACATGTTAAACATAGTAAACTACTGTCGCGTTAATTAAGACTGTGTCAATATACATGTTAAACATGGCATCTATTTGACAACCAAGAGTGTTAACAAACAAAAAAAAACCAACATATTTCTTCTAAAGAGATGAATACGTGACAAATGTATATTGACCCAAAATAAAAGTTGACCAAAATATATAAATCTAAAATTCTAGAAAATACTTTTTAACATATTTTCAGAGGTATGGAGTATTTGGGGACTGGTATCATTTATTGGCTTTACAGGATGGCAAAACAAGAATTCAGTAATGAAAGATGTTAGCACACTAGCCAGAGGAATGATGACCGTTCAAAAGCGGCAAATTGTGAAAATAAATCCACAAATGTATCTATATCGTCGGAAAAAATCTTTGTGTTTGAAAATTTCCCACACTATAGAAGTTGGTAATACGTCTTTCAGTTGGTACAATACAGTGATAGATGCCAATACAGGATCTCTCTTGATGGAAAGAGCAGTGAAATATGTTACTATCAGCAAGTCAAGAAAAGTTATTAGAGTTGAAGATTGGTTTCGAAAAAAGTATTCTGACGTAAGAAGCCAACATTTATTGGAAGACGAAATAAGCAGATATTCAGAAGTACCACAAATCCCTGAAAATAGTTATAAATGGCAAGCAACAATTCGATACAGCGATCAAGATGCCAATCTTCACACAAGTCAGTCGGTATACATTAAATTATGCATAGATGGAGCTACTTCTGCAGCATTGAATGGAAAACTAAAACATTTTACAGAGGACACGTGCTTTTATCCGGTAGATTATCTTGATATAACTTATATAGCAGAAAGTTTTCCTGAAGACCAGCTTGTCATCAATCTTTGGCAAGATGAAAGAGAACCCAGTGTACTTTATTTTCTAATCACATTGAATAGTAAAAATATGATTTATGCAATAATTAAATTTGGATTAACAAAGCTAGTACCAGTACAACATTCTAGGCTGTAAAAACGTATTTTAGAGTTTAAATAAAGCTACTCTCCTCAGGGTAGCGTTTCATACCATTACAAATATCTATTCAATCAGCTCACAGACATTATTGGAAATGGAGGACAATTGATTAGTTATTGGTAATTTTTATCATTTCAAGCTTGAATGTGTCAGCTACAATTGTAACATATGCAAATAAACGTATTTACATCATACATGTTTACATGTTCAAATCATACACTATCATATATTAGGTATGAAAACAGTTATTTATTTTTCAAACTGCTTAATCTGTAAAACATTTAAGAAGAAAAAAATTCTGTGTCTGCTTGAGTGGTCTAGTGCATAAGTTGTCTCGACCTGTGACCTATAGTTGCTTACATCTACGTCATTGGTCTCTACTGGATAGTTGTCTCATTGGCAATCATACCACATCTTCTAATTTTTATATTGATTGCAAGAGTTCATTGATTTGCTGCCTGGCTTGTTTTTAGTCCCCTACCGACGAAGTCGAAGGGGACTTTAGGTTTGCACTCTGTCCGTCCGTCTGTCTGTCTGTCCATCCGTCAGTCCGGGAAATCAGTTTTCCACACTTTTTTCTTCGTGCTTGAAGATATTGATTTGATATTTGGTATATAGTTTCATCATGACAAGTTCAAGTACAGATCAAGTTCGAATGTTGTTCCTGTCTGATGATTTTGTCCTGAGTTATGGTCCATGACTTAGTAAATTCACTCAAATATTCAGTTTTCCACACTTTTTTTAGTCATGCTTGAAGATATTGATTTGATAATTGGTATATAGTGTTATGTCAGGTTACAGATCAAGTTCAAATTTTGTTCCGATCTGATGATTTTGTGCAGAGTTATCGTCCTTTGACTTAGAAAATTCACCCCAATAATCAGTTTCCACACTGTTTTTCATCATGCTTGAAGATATTGACTTGATATTTGTTATATAGTTTACACCATGACAAGTTATAGATCAAGTTAGCATTTTGTTCCACTATAATGAAATTTTAACCGGTAGGGGACTATGTATTGCGATGCAATACTCTCAGAATGTTTGGTTTTTTTTGCTGTTTCTCCACCAATCATACATTATTTCGAAATGAGAGCAAAGACTGGCCTTAATTTAAAATGATCAAAACTTTATTCCTAATGAAAATATTAACTTTTACAGTGTGCAAAGTGTCTGCTTGATTGATTATAACTAAATTATATTTTGACATAAGGGCCTTTCTATTTGCATTAAGAATAATCTTTATTGTCATATAAACAAATTAAACATGTTTGTGACAAAAACGTACCAATATATATATATTTACAAGTCTAAATTGAAAACAACATTCAAACCTATGATTGCATTGGATAAAAACCACAATTTTTATACGTGTGCATGCAAAACAAATTTCTTGGCAGAGGGGTCTAAATACAGCACAAACAACATTTTCCAAAAGACCAAAAAAGTGAAAAAGTATATTTAAACAAAACGCATTTGACTATCAGGTTGAACAACGGATGTTCTTTAACACAGCTGACTGCCATGGCGATTGCCAATTAAACGGATCACCAGATGCAACAAAATGGATCTTAATAATTAATTTAATACCAAACAGAAAACAATAAACTTGCGGAAAAGATGGTATACCGCAAACATGAGGTGCAAAAATTAGTACACCATATCCGGATTTCAACAATTAATGTCTCATCAGTGATGTTAGGAATCAAAACGGTATTTGGAAGGCCATATAATATACCTCAATTTAGGATAGACTTGAATTTTGAAGAGTAGAAAAAGGATGAAGGGATTATATAAACCCGAAAGCAAATATAATACAAGCCCAAACGAAAAATTATAAACAAGTCTAAATTGAAAACAACGTTCAAACCTATGATATATATCAATTGTCGTAAAGCATATAAGATAGAAATTAATAAAACTTAAGTTAATCAGTGAACACTGATATGAAATAAAGTTCAGACAATGATGTACGCCTTGCATTGATTTTATAAACCATATATTGTTCTCATTTAACTCATAGTAACTATAACACTGACATAAAAAAGAAGAAAATAAACATTGATCTTAAAATGATGTCAAGGTCAGGCAACCTTGTTGTTGACTTGTACTGCAGTAATCATATGCACTACATTAAATAATATCATCCTGACATGCATGAAATATTTGCCACTGGATTTTAAGCAAACAACAATCAATCATTAAATACAAGTGGCTTACTACTAAGCAAAACCTAGAAGTTGATCAATGAACCAGGAAAAGAGGTCAAGGTAAGGTGACCTAACTCAGATGTACATGTAGAACTTACAACCATATCATCGATCAAATATAGTAACCTATCCCCCATACCAACTGACTAAATTCAGAAACCTTTAACTTACAAATTTTACCATGAAAAAGAATAAGTTTAATTGACATGTACAACTTGAAATTGTTGTATAGACCCAATATAGTTGACTCATTGCTCAGTAAATGAGAAACTGACATAAACATGAAGTTAAAACTGAAAAGACAGATATTTACACATAACAGTTCTGTAATAGATAATCAGTTAATTCTTACTCATAATCAATGAGGAAAGACACACTCCTGAAACCTGAAAAACTTAAACTCGTAAGAAATGGGAAGCAAATTGCTGCAAAATTTACATTAATCTTTGAGAAGTGGTCATCGGCCAACTCTTATCAAACAGAGTTGCAACCTTATTTGCATTAATATATTTGAATGATAACAGTACTAATCTAGTCTATGAAGTGTCTTGTCCTGTTGTTGTAATACATACTGTATACTTTAGAACCTAAATTCAAAGGTCATCTCTCTTAAAAGATAGTTTTCTCTGATACAAAGGGGGACTTTTGTACACAGGTTTGACTGAAGTTGCATGTTATTTGAGGTTTCATACAATGGGTGAACATGTTAGTATAAAGTACAAGAAATTACAAATAGAAACCTTAGTCTTTTGTCCTATTCAGAGATACTATCTACTATAAATGGTCAAAATTGTTATTTCAATTCATAAAGCAATCTTATTCACCAAAGTAGCTCAGTACTTCAATGCTGACATAAAAATACAGCATTTTTTAATTGTATAATTGCTGTTATAAAACTTGGGAAATCATTTGAATTAACTAATGTATCTCCCTAATACATAACTCTGCTTTCTTGTCAGGATTTGGCAATACTTTTGGTCCTTTTCAATTTTATCAGCTCTTTAACCTTTTTATTAGGTTTTTATTTTCAATTGTTCCGGGAATGGAGCATATCTGAAGAAGAGACTTAATTGTGAAAATGTGTATCATATGCAGTTAAATTTATACCATTTAATTTGATTATTGATGTACCACTTATCAGATACCAATTTACCTTCTGTTATGATAAAAAACACACAAAAATTATCAGTAATGTTTTAATTAATTATCAACAACAAAAAGTTATAACATCATATAACTAAGAAACAAGTCTATCACATGAAACTTTGTTAATCACAATAAAGCACAAAAGTGAAAAATAGGTAAATATTTGGCACAGCCAAACTAATGCTCTCTGAATTCTATGTTGTTCACATCATTGTAACATGTACTAAATTTATATTCACATCTAGAGATTTAGAGGCATTTTTTATAAAGGGGAATATCTCAGGCAAAGTCTGTATTAAAAATTCCCTAGATAAAAGGAGGCATTAATATTAGGTTTAATTACAAGTAAAAGGAGGTTATAATGAAGAAAGGATCCTTTAAAGGGTATTTGAATGTTCAAAAAGGAAAACAAATATGGACAGTATATAAATCTTTTAATCAAAGAAATCATCTAGGTAATTCAAAACATGAAGTTTTTTATAGGCATAATCCCTGTACCATATAATTTGTGATGCTCAAAATCAAATCCAATTATCAGACTATAAATAAATCTATCAAATGATTTATTGAATGTTGTTTGCTTGATGTCCAGTGGCAAATATTTCATTTGTTAAATATGCAAACATAAAAAAGTAGAACATAAATTATTATTTATTTGTTTATAGTCATATCTGTCTTAATATTTTATTCAAAGCAAACTAAAGTTATTAACCATAAAAAATTGCCAGTCCCCCCCCCATTTACAGGGGACATAACTCAGTTGCATTTAAAATGAGGAACATAAAGGTATAGGAATAAACAAATAAAATGTTTTAATACTAAATGGTCCCATACATTTTTGTGATTATTTATTATGTGAGAGCATTTTTTTTTATCAAAGTAAGATAAGGTTTCTAAAACAACTGAATAGAGCAATGGTTGGTCATCACGTATTTGCATAGATTAGAATCAAGTCACTTTTGTCTTATTCATGGATTAACCTTTGATATTCTGAAAGTATTTGTTATACTGATTTCAAATTTGAGGTTTGAAAAAAATATAAATGATTAAGGGTTTTTTTCCCCATAGCTTAAAAATGCACATTACAAATGAATGGAGAGTATGCATTTCATGGAATATTAGAACCACATCTCCAATAAGATTCAGTATTATGATCACTGTTCTGGTAAATGCCTTGTCATTTGTTTTAACAATTCATTTGTAGATACTGCCAGCTGTTGTCCATGATTTTTCTCCTCCATAGTAGCAGGTCTGACTGATACACATTTAAAACATCCATTTTTTATATCATAAGTACCAACACATCTGTAAAATAATAATAACACATTTGAAGCTTGACAAAGTACCACTGCAACTACAGTTAAACTATAGTCAAAATTGTAATTCTATGATCTTTCACATTCTGAACCTTGCACAGACGAACAGTAAAGTAAACACATGGAAAACTTTCAATATGGCAAAGTCTTGCAAAAGTTTGTTAGAATGTATATAAGTTTGTTAAATAGCTAAATATAACTGCAATTACCATCAAATAGTTGATCTACTTTAAGAAAAGTATAACTATGATAGGTTAATGACATCTAGAGAACAACATATGGTTTTCAACAATTGAAAGGTGTCATTTGAATATGTCAAATGTAAAGGTATAAGTGTCCTCCTGTAGTGTATACAGTCAAAACACACAAGGTGATTCAGGTGAAAGTTTTTCTAGGTGGTGATTCAGTTTAAAGTCTTTCTAGGTGGTGATTCAGTTTAAAGTCTTTCTAGATGGTGATTCAGGTGAAAGTTCTTCTAGGTGGTGATTCAGTTTAAAGTCTTTCTAGGTGGTGATTCAGTTTAAAGTCTTTCTAGATGGTGATTCAGGTGAAAGTTCTTCTAGGTGGTGATTCAGGTGAAAGTTCTTCTAGGTGGTGATTCAGGAGAAATTTTTCAAGGTGGTGATTCAGGTGAAAGTGTTTATAGGTTGCAATGCAGGTGCAAGTCTTTCTAGGTTGCAATTCAGGAGAAAAGCTTTCTAATATGAATATAAAATGTTATATACAATTACACAGCATATTAAGATATGTTTTACTGTTGTACCCCCCCCCCCCCCCCCCCAAAAAAAAAAAACACAACAAAACAATATTACACGCCTATCATCCACCTCCGGACAAACTTGTTTAATCTGTGGATTGAGCTCATATGTATTGCAAGCAGCACCTTAGATTTAAGAGTATACATACCTATGCCAGTGTCCTCTTGTTAACTTTTGTAATTCTCTATCCTGTCAATCACAAAGAAAACTTGCCTTCACACAATCTTATAACATCACACTTATAAACTAATCCTTAAATTATTTTTGGTATGCAGATATAGACACATTCAACTAATACCATACTTTGTAATATTTCACATTCAGTTTGTAAAAGTTTAAGTTTGAAATGATTGTCATTCTTAAAATATTGAAAAAAATTTTTGAAAGGAGTTATTGGCATCTACATGTAAATTTGATTTAAGAGTACAGAGTGCCTTTGCTAAGCGTATTAACAAATAAAAAAAGAATTTGTCTGAGAACATGAATGCCCTTGCTCTAGCTTTGCAATTTTTCAAGTTAAAAAGTTAAAAAGGGGCATAACTCTAGAACAGTATATGAGTCACTGCCCAAATTCAAACTCAGTCTGCATGTTGAGGTTCTTGTATGAGTTTTATAAAATTTGGATGAGACAAACTTAAGTTAAAGTGCAAAAACAAAAAAATTTGCAATTTTATAAAGGGGCATAACTCTAGAATGGTAAGTGACTCACTGCCAAAATGTAAACTCTGTATGGCTTGGCTCTTAGCATTGTGAATGAATTTCATGAAATTTGGATGAAGAAATCTTAAGTTAAAGTGCAGAAACGAAAATTGGATGAACGGTCAAGGGTAACACTCAATGCCCCAGTTGCCTATGGCGGGGGCATAAAAAGCCCATTGAGTAACAAAACTTACTATCTCATAGAAGACACACTTCAAAAGATGTTGTTCATCTCTGAGTATAAATTCTCTGTGGGTACCTGTAGCATCTCTTACAACAGCTGAATCTATAATACCTAATGGAGGAAACAATCTAGTGACTAATACATGTGAAAGCTGTCTATGAACTTTGGCTAATATAAAAAATTGGCTTCACACAAAGATAAAAATCTTAATTAAACTGAATTATGAGTTATTAAGATTCTAACAATTGAAAATCTAAGACATTCAATGTGAAGATTCTAGTTTCTGATACAACAGAGCAATATGAAATGTTAACCAAGGGGTCTAATATTTATATTAACCATATGTCAAGAAAATATGATGACATATAAAAGTACAGGAACCTATAGCATTTGTTAGTCTTGTGTTTCTTAAAAATTTTGGTTCATTTGTATGTTTAGAGTTTAGTATGGTGTCCATTTCTCTGAACTAGTATACAGTATTGATTAGGGGCCAGCTGAAGCCTGCCTCCAGTGCAGGATTTTCTCGCTGCATTGAAGACCTATTCTTAGCCTTGGGCTGTTTTCTGCTCTTTGGTCTGGTTGTTGTCTCTTTGACACATTCCCCTTTTCCATTCTCTATTCTAAGTATGTATAAGCTTTAGGTAATATGGTCTCTGAGTATTGTTGTGTTCCAGACAAACAGATAAAGATTATTTCTATATCCCCTGCGTCCCAAGCCATGGAGGACAATAATTTTTTTTTTTTCAGAAAATAAAAGACCATACAACTCTGAAATGCATGCAGCTTAATTGGCATCAACCAACCAACACCTTTATTTTGTGATCAATAACATTAACATTTATATTTCATTCATTTGGTTATCTGTTCTCTTTTTGTCATCCATCAGGAAACCAAAACTTACCTATATTTTCAAAATATACAAAGACATAATTCAGAAGCTGTAAAAGTGAAAAAATTAAAAAAACTTTAAATAATTACCATCAGTCATCCATAATATTCCACCAAAATTTAAATCAATTCTGTTCTGACAGTGGTTTCCTTTAATAATTTTGAACTAGTTGACCAACAGTCATGAGAATCACTCTACATGCCTGATTCCATAGATTTACTGTAAATTCAGAAATTATTGCGTGTATTTATTATTAAGAATTTTGAAGAATGGACAAAAATGCGAGATTGATTATTGCAATTTCAGGAAAATCTGCATACAGATATATGTATCAGATATCAGAATGTAATATCTTATTATTGTGATATTCAACCAGTCACATTATTCACAATAATAAAAACCTAGCAATAATTTCTGAATTTATAGTAGATTATTACATGCCATTCACATTACTGTGACAGGTATCATCTACTGACCCATATCAGCCATGAAGCTACTTGAGTCTTGGGCTGATCCTATAGCTAATATGGAACCTGCCATTTAATAATCTATTAATATTTACCAAAAACTTCAAATATCATATGGATGTTATCTCTATACTTGGCCCAGTGAGGAATGCTCGAGGCATGAAGAGTCATCACATGTAGACTTGGGTCAATCTTCTTCTCACTCTGCTTTTTGTTCTGCTGTTTCTGAAATAAGATATACAGTTTGGTGTAAAGAAATATAGTTTTTTTTTACCATACAAAAAATCTAGATCTATACACTTCTCTGTTTGCTTAATTTGAGATTAAAACCTTGGTGTATTCAAATATTGAATAAACATATAATTTTTCATTAAATTGATTAAAAAGAATCATAAAATTATATCATGCAAAGTTGACTTTATATGAATTGTTAGTTCTTTTTAGGTCCCTTTGGTAGTATGCCCCTTTAGGTTCAAGCATTTCAGATTAAGGTACATTGAGAAAAGCATTTTGGATGCACAAAATTTATTATAAGTGTTACATTATTATCTTCTAAAGTGTTTTCAATCTGCATTCATTAATATTATCAATAAGATTGAAATACTAATCACAGTCCAAAACTTCACTCACAAGGATCTGACACTACTTTTAGTTTTGAAGACCTTTTAGGATCCTCTGTATTGTTGTAATGATACACATCTTAAAAATAATTGGAGGCAGGAGTGTCTTTGTTTGACATATAATAATCAGAACCAAATGCAAATGTGAACATGGTTAAGAACAGAGTGATGTCAGATGCATGCAAGCCAGGCATGCAGGGCACACTATCTGTATTTTAACAGATAGCAAATGGCTACTTGATACAAAGACTCTTAGACATACTATTAATAGTATTATGAACCAGAAATATCATATCTCACATATTTATTTGTATATAAAATAAGTAACATATAATTACCTCCCTTGTATATATGAAAATGCTTATTTTGTACCGGGTAAATGAAATTTTAGTGTAATTCTTCATTGAACTGTACTATATATCAGTAGCAGGTTGTGCATAAATAAAAAGAAAATTAGTGAATGTTGAAAAACCATCAATCATACCAGTGTTGAAGTACTTATTACTTTCTGATCTAGCAATTTAGCCATTTAATTTTGAATATTTGTTTTTCTATATGGAATGAATTAAGAATACTACACCTCTTTCTGAAATCTATCACTGGTTTGGGGTCCATTGCAAAAAACCTTTGATTCTCCAGGGTAAACAGCACCCCTAGCTGGACTATTGTCAATAGGAATACCTCCAGTAAATGGGCTACCCCTTATACCACTTGTATTTCTAATAAAAACAAAATAAACGAAAAAACATCTAGCAGTGTCTAGTTTAAACTTAACAACAATAAATCTGCATTAAAAAAAAAAGGTTTTATACTTCAACTCTTTCCGTTAAAGTTCAAAATGGAACAAAAGAATTCACATTTCATGCCCATGAATTAATTCTCTAATTGCAAATGCTCAAGTTTATGATCATGAATTTACTACATGTATAAGAACATACTATGGACTATGAGAATTGAATAAAGAGATCTACAATTAAAACATATAAATATGATAGTGCATACCTTTCTTGGTGAAACATACTGGGCATATCAACTTTTTTAAAAGGTTTATTTTGTTGATTATTTTTTAAATTCTGTTGATAGCCTTGTTGCTGGGCTGATCCATAGCTCTGCTGAGTGTTTTGTTTATAATTTCTATAATTCTGTTGGTTATTTTGATGACCTTGATATGTTTTAAGCATTGGAGCTTGTGTAGGTTGAAAGCTTTGCTGCTGATTTCTATTGTTTCCTTGTTCCATGCCAAACTGGAGCCCAGAACTAGTATTACAGATTCTTTGATTTCCAGATGTGATGGTAGCACTTGGAAATTTTCTTGGTTGACTGACTTTGCTCTGATTATCATATGTTGTTTTATTTTGGTTTGTATATCCTCCTTTAAAATTTCCAACACTCTGCTGTTGTGTAACAGAGTTTATTCCCTTAGTTTGCTGTTTCATAGGTCTCGAAGAATCTCCCATTTGATTTATACTTGAAAAAGAATTTCTATTTGTGTAGAATGATGCTCCAGTATTTGACTGGTTGAATGGTTTTTGACAATTTCCCTGCTGACTAGCATGTTTTCTTTGCTGAAAGGGTTGTGCTGGTTGATCTCCCCTTTCAGTGATTGGAGCATTCTGTAAAGCTGAGAATCTCTGGAGACCTTGATCTGAAATAAAGCTCAACATTATTATCAATTCAAGCATAAATAAAAAATAATCAGTTGCAATATTATCTTATGATAAGCTTGCTCTTCTTACTTCAACTTTTAAAGTCCAATTACTCCAGAACTCCTATAGTAGATTCATTATTAATTCTTGGATACCAATTTTCATGGATTTTGTGGGTACAAGTGCACAAGGAATTTAAATGTTGAACAAAGTACAAGTTTTCTATAATCTTGTATACAGATTTTGACAAAACCATGAAATCAAATATCAATGAAGCGCAAAATTCCCTCAATCCACGAAAATTGGTTACTGTAAATTCAGAAATTATTGCGTGTATTTATAATTGCGATTTCCAAAAAATGAACAAGAACGCGAGTTTAATTATTGCGATTTTAGGAAAATTTACATAAAAATGTATGTATCAGATATCAGAATGTGAGTTCTTATTATTGCGATACTCACAGAGTTGCATTGTTCGCTTTAATAAAAACCTCGCAATAATTTCTGAATTTACAGTACCATGACAATAAATGAATCTACAGTAGCATTTACACTTCCTACATGTATCAGTAAGATGCCAATTCAGTAGATATTTTACCTTAAAGCTTATATATATGCTTCTCATTATTACATTGTGAGCTTAACTTGATATTGAAATTTTCCAAATCTGATGCTTTCCTGAGTGAAAAAATTACACTACCTATCAACCTAATTTAAAAAATATCAGCTTTTATTTATATGATAAATCTGTTCCATTAAAACATATATGATACCCAATGATGGTATTTTGAAAATGTGTGAACCAACTGCAGATGCAATTTTAAAATTTCAATTACATTTTCATTGTAAAAAAATATTTGACACCCACTAATAGTTGAGTTTTCAAAGTGCCTTCCCTGAGTTCCATGTATGTTTTTATGGAGAGGTGAAACTAGTTTTATTTAATTTGAGTCCAAGTAAGGATGCAGCAAATATGGTCCTCCTTACATTTTATTTTATCAATTGTCATCTGTATCTATATATCTTTTTTCTTTTGTGTGTCTGTGGTGTTAGGTTCTTGTCTCATCAATATCTACCCCTATCTATAAATAACATTAAGATACAAACTGTTATTTCTTGACCTATTTTCATTACTGAATCCACCAACTGGCATCAAACCTACATAAAATACGGATAGAGTCCGATAGACATAAAAATTTCTTTATCATATCCACCCATTTTATAATTCTTTAACAAAAGCTTTTATTTCACTATTTGCCTTACTTTCAGTGTTGGAAGTAAAATTAGTTTACATACATGTACAAGATTTTACACTATTTCAGTGTTTATAATGATGAAATATCTCAAACTTATGTTCCTTTTTGTGATAAAATTAGCCAGGCAAGACTGAGCAATATTTGTGTTTGTCATAACTCTAGGCTCTGAAAGGAGTCTGTGTAAGTCAGTCAAGAAATATCTTTTTTTTTAATTTGAAGACAAACATTTTCAATAAAATATTAAAAAGCTAATTTTAAATTTTATTGTTTATTTGTATTAAAAGATTTCATAAGCTAAACTTTAAAACTTGGAGAAGAGGGTAATTTGGTCAATTTGGCTATGACAAGAAACTTTTTGGATGAATTATATCAAAGAGAAATAAAACAGCAGATTAAATGATTATACCAATCAAAGGTCACCAGAATGTTGCTTCAGGCTTGTAGTTCACCATGGGAGATAACTCAAACTAGTTTTTATTTCAAATTTGCATTTATGGAAAACTCCTGATTGAATATTGTCAGATCATAATGTTTATTCCATATATTCATCTTTCAAAATCCTCAGTACCTAATGGCACTATGAATAATTTCTAAATAGCAGAAGGCTGTTGCCTAGATTGGGTTAAATATGTAACTGTAGAGCATGAATCTTATTACAAAATCACTTAATTTGTCTCCTCTGGGACTTGAACCTGGGACCTCTGTGTTACAAGGCAGCTAGCGCTCAAACCAACTGAGCTAAAGAAGTAATTCCCTGGCTCAACTGCTTACGGCTGGCTAAGTATCTACTTCATGTACTAAGGGAAGTAATCCCATCACAAATACAAAAGAAAATCTATATTAGTTATTATTATGCATTTTGTGTTAAATTGTAACAACTAATCTGTGGACTTGATGAAAGGGAGATAAGCACTTGTTCATTATCCACACCTTTAGAGTCATTTAATTATCTACAAAATGTTCTCCAAATAAAAGTGGTGGTAAGATGGTTTTGCATGACCACTAAAATTTGGCAAAGGACTGACATAATTTTGGTATTTTGCAATAGGAATAATAGTGAGGACCAACAGATTTTATTCCAGGACCACTCAGGAAAAAAAGATTTCGATTACTCTGAAATTGATAAGTTGCAGTGCAAGGAAAAGAAATACATGGAAGTCACCCTATAACACATCTTAGAAATGACAGTACCTTGATATTTATTCGTAATAGAATGTCCATCCTGAGGATCAGCAATAACAGCTTGTCTTGGTCTCTTTCTGTAGTTAAAAATTGGAACTGGTGTACTTTTCCCTCTATCCTGAAATTAAAAAAATATAATGTCTTAATGTTTATGCATTTATTCAAATAATCATTTCTAATGTATGGATATATTTTCAATATTGTATAAATTTTTAGTTTCTAATAATTAGAAAAAAAATTGTAAGTATATGAAGATACAAAATCCAATGATAATAAAACATAAACCTGAATTGGGTGTGCCTGAAATCACTTTTCGAAATGATTTTTCTAATACAAAAGTTTTTACCAAAATATTTATCCAAAATGTGTAGACTGACCACTGTTATTTAATTTTACAGAACAAAACGACAGTACAGTATTGAAGTGCAGAACTCTGAAGTCAAATTCTGAATAAAATTCTTGTCAAACACACGACAAAATAATAACGTTTTCTTATATGTCATGCAATATTAATATTCATATAAACTGAACTTTATAACCCTACATACATGTATGTAAATTAAGGGATTATAGGAGTTTCAATGTTTGATCTCTAGCATTTTGGAATCAAGGTTGTGTTGCAGCTACTTTATTGAGTGAATAGTTATTGCATTATCTAATTATTTGCTGTTGTCACTTTTAAAATTTCTCTGGATATGTACTCATGATTCATGGTGCTGTTGTCAAAATGTTTCATAAATAATTGTACCCTGTGGTTGATTGAAGGCTCAATTCTATAAAAATTGTAATATTTTGATCAAAAATCACAAAAGGTCTCTTTTCTTCAAGGGCCACCAGGGAAAAAGCAATACTTGCTGTAATTGAAAAAAATATAGTAAATGTCATTCATTTTTGTAAGACTCAGTACACACTAGCTGTTATATATCTCAGAAGATGAATTCCTTTTCTTTTTAATGTATTATTTATAAATATAAATCAAGATAAAAGAAGAACATGTCAGAGGACACAAATGCCCCACTCAAACTTTGCAACAAAAATGGGACTGATCGAAAGACAGAAAGACAGCAGGAAGGAAAGATAGAAGGATGGACAGTCAAGGGTAACACTTAATGCCCCGTTGCCTACAACGGGGGCATAAAAATGATAATTATCATATATATATATCCTTAATTATATATCAATAAACTAAAACGAATTCTTAATCCTGAAATATTACAGGAATCAGGATGCTAGCAAATTAGGCTCCGTTTTGAAAAAGTCCTTTAGACTGAAGACAGGAAGTCCTTAAAAAGATTTGAATATATATAATATGAATATTATTGTACAATAAGCATGTTGCATATGTCACAGACTCACAGCCAATGACAAGGAGCACATTGGTCCTACTTAAAGAATTATCTCCTTTTGACAAGGAGCACATTGATCCTACTTAAAGAGTTATCTCCCTTTGACGAGGAGCACATTGGTACTACTTAAAGAATTATCTCCCTTTGACAAATACTTCTTCTTTTTCAGATATACAGTTCAACTTCATTACATTAAAAATTACACACTTTTGAACTTTTAAAAGAAAAAGTACAAATCTATTGTGTCAAATACTAGGCTTGACATAAATGTTTGTCCAGGACAAGTGAAAATAGACTTCAGACATGTAGAATCAACATAATTAATAGTTGTCCAATGGGACAAGTGAAAAATCATCAAATTAGAACTTATTAACCTACGATTGTTAATTTACATTATTTCCAGAGTGTTGCATAATGTGTAACAATAGTAATAATAATAAATTCTAAAGAGGGTAAACACAGTTAGTCACAACAAACTATTCTTCCCTGTGGTCCTCACATACAAATAATACAATACAATAAAAATCAGATATTTACACATAGTTTATTTTCTAATCATAATAGTTCAATGTACCGATCATTATAAGGCCATAAAAAAGAATATCTTTGTTTGCCCTAACCCTACCTACCCAGAAAATATCAGCCTACTCAAAATCTTTTATTGTCCTGATGTGAAAAAGTTTTTTTTAATCAGATAGGCATGAAGACTATAAAACATCTGACACTTCAATTTCTTTTTGCCGAAAAAAAAAAAAATGCCTACCTACCTACCCACTGTCTCTACCTTTGGATAGGGTTTGGGCAAACAAAAATATTTTTAAGTGTGGCCTAAACATGATAAGAGATGAAACTGTTAGAATTGTACATGTAGTAAAAAACAAAAAATATAATATACAAATCAAAATAGTACATTGTAGAAAACAGAAACTTATAAGGACTATATGTAAGACATGAATGGTTTGCAACCATTTGAGTATTGATGGCTTCCTAATTGACAACTTAATTGAGGGTAAGTGTCTGCTGAAGGTTAACAAATTTCGTTTTATCCCATCACATGATCAGATTGCATCATCAATTTTAGTTTCTGTCAGATTTTACAATTGTTGCAAGCATGCATGATAAGGGGTCTCATTTAGGCAGGGGGGGGTCTGGATTCTGGATCCCCTTAAGGTTTTGTCAGATCCCATTTCCCTCTTATTTTGTGATTATCGTATGTTTTTTTGTTAAGTCACTCATCAGATTATAAAAGGGTGAAGAGACATGTATTTGCAGCTACATTAAATGTTGACATTTAGTTGACAAATGTTACTACCAGTATATGAAATTCGGGATGATGTAAAAACTTTAACATTGACTCAATGTTTTTTTTTTAATTAAGGTAACTATTTTGTCTTTTTTTTTATGTTGAACCAATGTTAGTATTCAATGTTGAAATTTCATCTAAAACTGGTATTATTTGACATTTGTAATCACATAGACTTTGATGTGGAATCAGTGTCAGCATTCAACATTGAATGAAGCTATTCATCAGAGTTCAACAATATGTTTGTCAAATCATTAATACACAATTTGCTTTAACCAAACTTACTCCTGAAACTTATTATGACATTGCTATGTTTAAACCAATACTTCGTAGCAAGGCATTTTCAGAAGTGGCAAATCATAAGTTTATTAAGCAAAGACATGCTATATCGACAACGTAACTAGAACAGAAATATTTCAATAATTGGAATTCTTATTCATTTTTGCCTGCAGGAAAAAATTAGTTTTACGTTTGAAATGGTGTTTGCTCTCCTAGCTATGTCAACAACAAAATTTACCTTATAATAAAATACTGTATCTTCTCATTGTGGATGTGTTACCATAGGGCCCAAGATTTCTGTTTCACAAATGGGACATTGTACCCCAAATATTCTTAATACAGGTGCTTTGAGAATTTGGACATCATACCTGGTGACACATGTATGTCAGAAGATGTTCACGCTCAGTTTTCGAGCTTACTACAGGCCTAACAGCCCAGGTTTGTAAAAATCCTGTTGAGCCTGCAAAAATCATCTCTACAGGCCAATAAAATCTAACTAAAATTTTTTGTAAAAATTTATTGTGAAGACTGCACTCTTCTGGAACACCTGATCTTACTCCTGGTTTGTCCATGCTGTAGTTCTATGTTTTGTTTAGTTACACTTGTTTTGCCATATTTATTGATTATGATGTTAACCAGTGCTGTCGGTATGCTTCACTTGTCCTCAGACATCTGCATGACATCAGCAATCTTTCATTTAATATCGGAGAAAAACTGTCAATAATAAAAAACCCACTACATTTGGGTCGAGGCTTTGGACTTGGAGACAAAACTTGACAAAATGCCCCTTAATTAAAACAATAAATTCCAGAAAAGGATGACTGGAGTCACTGGGCCACCTGAGCCTTCTTGAATCCACCCCTGAATTATGTACTTACTCAGTTACTGTCCAATTACTAAGTTTGCAAAACATAAGTATAGTTTTTTTAATTTCTTCAATGTTTCTTGGGTACAACAATTAATTTTTCAAGGGGACTTGGAAGATTTTGTCAATATGTTTCAATGAAATATTTTGTAATATGTTTATATATTTTTTTACGTATATAGTATTGTGTATGCCTTTTGCCCTTCATAAACAATGGGCTCAATTTGTGCTTTAAGTATTGAATTGAATTGAAGTATATATTTTACTGAGACCAAGATTAAATAAGGAATGTTGATGATTGTAAACTGTACATATACTAACAAGTATTCACTACTTTTGACAACAAATTTTGATTCAATGGCTTTATAAAATTATGATTTTCACAGATTCCTGGCTCTTCTTGTAACATTTCATGTGTAACGCCTGACTTCAATTCCTGTTTTCCCACACAATAATTTGACTTTCACATGTCATTCTTACAAAAATCTGCCAATCCAGCATCACACTTAGACCACAATGAGAACTATATCTCTCATGGTCCTTATTATGTTTTCTGATTATTTGTGCAGACCCAAATTGTCAAAACATATCATAAGGACCTATAAGAGCTACTGTAACATTTTGGCAACTAGCATGATAACAGACCAAAAAAACCATAACATTCGAATATTCAGTAAAGCAAACAATGAATTATTTGGGTAAAAGGCAATTTCCTGGATAACACTACATTAGGAACCATAGAAGTCCATTATTATAGGTTTGCACATTTAATATGCACTATTAATTGTGTCAACAGCTAAGGACAGTTTTATAAGATTTTACACTTAATTTGGATTCGGAGAAGTTGAACAATTGGATTTTCTTGTAACCTTGGGGGAGGGGGGGACACTTCAATACTTAATTGATAGGGGTGCAACTGGTTCTGTTACCCCCACCCTTTTCATATAAGTTTCGCTTTAAAAAATGTCTACCTTTTCATATCTATTTTATATTTCTGATAGTTTTCCCCACTAATTCACATATTTCCAAGCTGGAAAATGCGGCCTATTCCAGCGCCACGTCCTATCATCTTGTATATTAGTTCGAGATTACTCTGACGTCCAACGGCTGTTTTGCCAGACAAGCTGGTGCAGTGGGACGGCCCCAGCTTGTCTGGCAAAAGAGCTGTTGGACGTCAGAGTAATCTTGGACTACTTGTATATATAGTAACAGAAAGTTAGTGGGCCCCCCCCGAGCTTGTAACTCAGCCCTCAAATTAAGGCTATTAAAAAAAGTCGCCTGGGCGACCTATGAAGCCTCCAGGCGACTTTACTTTCATTGTTGGTTGCAATTTGGCGACTGGTACTATTTTGACCTGGCGACCGTAAAATTCCGGATAACCAACCTGCCTCCGGTCGTATTTTATTAAGTTTTATTCGCAGTCATACGAGAGCTTGAATGTATGCTAAATCTTTAATATGATTTCAAGCATTTTTAATCTTAACGGGGTCTATAAAGGGCTTAACTTAACTGGGAATTGAAGCGTCTGATGAAGTGTTTTCAGGACCAATACATTATGGCAGCTAAACAGATGTTGCTGTCTGGATTTTTCAAAACAACTACCCAAAACAACGATGTTTCGCCAGATAAAAAACAAAAAGAAGGGACGGAGAGTTCCTCTATAGAAACTCTGGCTTCTGAAAAGCCAAGTATATCTTCTAATGTTACTATTAAGCGTAGAACGCGGAAACAACCTCAATGAATATTTACTTTTTTGTTAACTTAGTCATGATTTGGTCATTGTGTTTCTTTAATCAATGTTGATTTAATTAGTAAAGTAAAGAAGATCAGAACAAAAGATATACAAGGGTTAACTATAAGCAGTATTTACTTTGAACTAAGACTAACTTATTTTAAGTCTACTATTCTATATCATAGAAAATATATTGATGTGCGTTTTTTACTAGTCTTCATTATCTCTACTGACTAGACTTTCATAACAAATTTTTTAGGCGACCTGAAATAATTTCCTGGCCACTAAAATTTTGAATTGGCCACTGAAATTTTATGTCTGGTGGCCAAAAGGCAACCTGGTCTTTAAACCTACTTTGAGGGCTGTAATTAACTTGTTAAATGCCGAAATGGACAATCTAAAATCAAAGTACTGAAGTACTGAACATCGGATGACCACAAGTTCTTGAGGATGGTCAAAAGCACTTGTCTCAGAAAAAAACAACATATCTCTTTACCTGAAACTGAGGTTAAGGTACAGAGATATATTTTTTTCTGAGACAAGTTCGTGCGTGGATGATGAATAAATGACAGGAAATTCAACTTCACCATAATAACTATTATATTGTAGTGATACAAATCAGTATACATGGTGGACACTTTTCTGTAAAAATTCGATTTTTCTAAGATTGGATACGAGTAGGCATTCATATTTTCCCGCAAAAACAATTACAGAGTTACCGGTCCTCGCAAAAAGTTCTCTGAGATATTCTTCCGCATGCTTTAACACAATTTTTCGGTACGTCTGCATTGATATTATCAATGATTTTTTACTTATATATATATATCGAACTACAAAACATTTTCATATTATTAATTCATGTTGTAAACAAAAATATTTTTATCAGTATTCATTGAAGAGATGTATTTATATCAAACGATAAGGAATGTTATTTTGCATTCGTTTATGTGCGCATATTTATCATGTTTATAGATCGGTTACAAACCCAAAACTAATTTACATAATGGAAATCTGGGCGATAGCAATACATCTGAATGACCCCAAGGTCATCGCGATGTAAAAATGATCCAATGAATGTAGCTGTGTTTTTAAATTACAAGAAGTACAAGTGAATAACTATGTAGTATATGCAATTTTTTTTATGTTTTCGTAGTTCAATAAAGCACGAATATTGTATATGTCTTGAACCTGTTCACACTCAGTTTGAAGTTGCAGACGATAAACGGCCAGTGGATCAAGCGGTCCGCCGGTCCGAGTCAGCGTTATATCTTGCGTAAACAAAAGTTTAAAGCTGTGAAGTAACATATTATTCAATATAACATGTGCTTTTACTAAGACATATGAGATTTTATATGAATATGTACCATCAAACAAATTGAAAATTCGGGTCGAAATTCCCTCTGCTCCACTACACACAACTTATCTTTTCATTAGAGAGTGTTTCAACAAAATCAAAACTATCGCCAGATTGTTTCTTCTAAGAACCATATAAAATTCCACCTAATACTATTTATAAAGTTTTAACAATAAAGCACCACAACGACCTTTAAAAATCGAATGTTCAGCGCAAGAGACAATTAAATGAAACAAATGATAATAATGAGGAACCAACAAGCCGTGCAAATACGAAATTTACGCGTGATACAATTGTCAGGAATAAAATCATCATCAGAATTTAACATTTTGTACGGCCACTGAGACGCGCGTTTCTCCTTTCCATGTATAATCAAACATGTTACAAATAAAAAGAAGCGTATGCAGTTCTGTTCATATACAAAACAACAACATGTTCTTTAAATATCTGAATGTTCCTTATGAAGTAAAGGCGAAAACAAATCAACTAACCAACTTGATCAAATTGAATAACCTTGCATTGACTGATTCGGCATACTTAATTACAAAACGACTAAGAGACCCTCATCGTCACTTGACCCGTGATTTTCCTATTTCAGCCAACGGATATCGCACTTAAAGCACTCTTGCAAATTGTCGCCAGACTATTATTCTTTTTTATTACATAACATTTAACCCATTGTATGCCAGAGGGCCGATTTTGGGCCGATCTGTACATACTACGTTCAGTGCCAGAGGGCCGATTTTAGGCTGATGTTATTTTAGCGACGTTACCAACGCCGTCATCAATACAGAATTGTGACGTCGATCTCCCGCCACCTAAGAGCGCACTTGCCACTTCCACTTGGCGTTGCATTTCAAAAATAGCGTATGGCTAATTTTTGGTTCAGATATTATTTGTTTGTCTCGAAAATTACCTCACTGTTTCTCACTATTCAATGAAGACTTGTAAGTGGTCCCGCTGGATGGGTTTTTGTCTTTTTGACACATTCCCCATTTCCATTCAATTTCCTATTCTTTAGAAACACTTTTGTCTATCGATAGTCCATTTGTTTCTTTTACTTGCATGATATTATTTACGGCTCAAATGTTTTGTACAGCTTTGGTGTTTGGATTTTTTTCTTTCGCACATAGTGCAGACAGATTCTGTTTTTGTTTTAGATTTTTTTTTGTGTGTGGGTGGGTGGGGGGGGGGGGGGGTAAGTCATTAGCATATACATGGCGAATAAATAGATAGATTTCACAATTTTAGATATATTCATTGTTCTTCCACACATACATGATTATGTTTGCATTTTTTATGAAGTCCATTTCCACATCTAACACAAACAGTTCTCGTTCTCTTTCTCCCATTCCACCCGTTTCTGTCTGAACAACCGCTACAATCTTTTTCTTTTCCGTCGGGGACCTTACGGAGTCGTATGCGCGCATTATTTAGTTCACGATTAGGGAGTCTCTGCTGACGTGATAAAAGATGCTCTTGTGCGAGATCCTCAATTATACTTTGCAGAAATGATAACCTCGAGAGACGTGGTGCATCAGTATTTTGTTTATAAAGTATATAAGCATTTGTTACCATTCTTTGTAGTAGATTGAATACAATTTTTTTCCATACTTTCATAGTTTTTCTATCATCGACATATGCGCTGACAAGCTGATCAGCTAGATCTACTCCTCCCATTTTTGTGTTGTAATATTCAATCATTTTTGGTTTCCCGTTATAATTAAGTTCGGCTCTACATGCAGTGGATAACAGACGGACAGGTTTCCTACGCCTAGCTTCCTTATACGCACATAGCAATAACTGTCCTTGTCTTAAAAACTTAGCTTCGTTTTCATCTATTGTCGGGTTTTTTATAGAGCTTGGCATGGCACGATTTTTACGTAAAGTTCCAGTCAAAAATGTCCCTTTCCGCAGTAGTTCTTTTGCTAAATCAAGTGACGTGAAAAAGCTGTCTGTGACAACGTGGTAGTATTTATTAAAAAAATTGCACGAGTCTAAAAGTGAATTTACTACGTAACTTCCCTGTAACATTCCGGCAGGGGTTGGGTCATAACGCTTTCCTTTATACACATTAAGATGAACAATGTATCCCGTTATTGATTCAGCAAGCACCCATAATTTAACACCGAATTTCGCTGCCTTTGAGGGTATATATTGAATCATTATTGACCTGCCCCGTGTTCCTATTATACTTTCGTCTATGCTTAAGGATTGATTTGGTGTATAATATTGTTTAGATTTGGCATTAAACAAATCAACGAAGCATTGAAATTTTCCGGTCGGGGAATACTGTGGATCATCACGGTTAGGAATCATATCATTGTTAGTTATATGAAAAAACTTCAAAATCAATTGGAACCGGTTCCTTGAAAACATGTCTCTAAACCATTTTGTTGATTGGCTAGCAAACTTTGTATTCCAATATTCGGTTATAACCGGTTTCTTAATGATACCCATATTGAGAATAACCGCTAAAACGCTTTCAGATCTCTCAATGTTAAAACCCCAACTTTGAACCAGTCATGCAGGCGCGAGAATCGTTGAATTCTGTCTTTACTAGCAATATAGTCTGCTGCATACCTGCAAAGAAATAGGTTTTATAAGTTTTCCATCGAAAGTTACTTTTTCTCCATTGAAACTGTTTGTTTTTTAGAAGCAAGCGGTCATAATTTTCTCACGAAAATGTACCCTTTCTCCACGAAAAAAAGAGCTAGCGCTAAGATTACTTTTTATTGTTTTGCCGAGAAATAAGGCAACACATCATGAAAAAAGATGAAAAGGCACAATGTTTTTTTTTCTTGTAAAGATTATAACCGCGTGAATGAGGGGGTGCCGATCATAGATCCGCCAATGGTGACTGTTCTATTGTAAATGAGGTAGTGTCTCTTCGTACATGCATGTGTGTAAAATGAGCGTTATGGGGCTCATTGTCTTAACCCCGAGGGAGTTACTGACTATCCTTTCGGGTATAACTGTGCCGACAGCACTTGCCAAATCATACCCTGTTCTAACCAGAAAACATTGAAAAACATACCCTGTTCTAAACAGAAATATTGAAAAACATACCCTGTTCTAGACACGCTCAGAAAATGTATACCTGTTCTAGACACGCTCAGAAAATGTATACCTTGTTCTAGATAGAGACCTATATGTTCTAGACTAGTTCAGAAATTTATACCCTGTCACCAAACAATTCATTAATGTAAGATCCTGTTCTAGACAAATACTTTGTCTAAAAAAGACCCTGTTCTCACCAGCAGGGCATGAAAACGCGACCCTGTTCTAACCAGCAGGACATGAAAAAGGGACCCTGTTCTAACCAGCAGGGCATGAAAAAGCGACCCTGTTTTGTGGCACACTCGTACCACAAAAAATATAGGAAGTAAACCCCCGGGGTCTTAACTTCCGACTTATTTATAAAATGCCAAATAACTTTTTTAAAGCAAATAAGCAGCTCAAATGTTCGACTTATGTCCGGTTTTAAATTATGAAAATGTTCTATGTTTATCAATTCCTTGGTGATGTATACATAAAGCATGGATCGATAAAATATGTACATGATAGTACCTGTTGGTTTCTGTAACTATTTGTCTTAAGAAATCCATTGTCATAAACAGGAAAAAATAAGATATAGGTCTTGGATTCCTTGGAGGAGCGTCTTGAAGTCCAACATTCTCGGCAAAGTTCTGTTGCATTTCATCTATTTCTGGTGGGTAGATTCTAAACCATGGACGTTGGTTCGGCACATTTTCATCTTCGCTACTCTCCGATTCTGTGATCTCTTGAGCTAGATCAACATCTGAATCCGTTTCACTTTCAATATCGGAAATTCGGAATCTTCGCAAATGTCTGACATTTTGGAAGCGCAATGCCAATAGTTCCAAAAATGACGTCATGTTTTTAATTGTGACGTTACTTAAATGTAGAAAAAACCAAGCACTTTTCGAAAAATTAGGAAAAAAAGGTTATATTAGGCAACAACCATTTTCTTATCGGGGGGGGGGGGGGGGGCTGGGATTTTCATTGTGTTTCAGAACCTTCCTCCGATAATTTTTTTTTTCTTATGAGAAGGAAAGCAACATTTTTTTTCCTATCATGTGAAATAGAACTACATGAAGCAGGTGACAGCATAAAAATTTGTTCACGCTACAATGCAAAATCTAATTATTTTTCGGTCAGCAGCTAGTTGAAATTACTTCTAGAATCAGATAAAATCAATCACTTAGCTTCAGAAGCAAAAATGTTCAAATTAAATTTGTTTTTGAAATAATAGTCTGTTCTTTGAATCAAATACATGTATCTGTAAACAAAATCGTTTTTACTGGCAATATTGGCTTCCACTAATATCTAGAGCCGGCAAAATAGCATATATATTTTTTTGGCGACGCCAGAAAAATAGCTTCTGCCTTATAAAAACTCAAATTGGGACAGAGTCACAGAGTGTGATCATTAATGGGCTTATAAGTACCCGTTTTTATCTGCGTGTAGGTACAAATATTTATTTTATTCCTAATAAAATATACATTTTATATTCTCTTACATTGTGTTACATTCCAAACACAAGATTTACCGTTATCGCTTCATGACATGAAATTATTTTATTACTCTGAATCTTGGTTTGCATCCGTCCGTCCGTCCAAATTATGTATCCACATCTCCTCAGTAAGTAACAATTTTAGTTTTATTCCGGGGGGGGGGGATATGTTTGAGGTCAAATGCAGGACGGGGTTTGTTAGTGAAAATATCAAGGATGAGCAATTGGTTAAAATAAAAAAGCCGGAACACAAAATGGGCACAAAATTAAAGATTATTTTAATTCAGAAAAAAAAAATTGCGCGCACCAGCGTGACGAAAGACAATGCCACGATCGAAATTTTGCCTAAAAAATAATCAGGATCCATAATTTGATCCAAATTCCCCATCTTGAAAATTAAATGATTGCTTTTATAGAGACAAACAAGATTGCATCTCTTTAGGGAAGGAAGCTGGACTTTTTGTTGTAAATATTCTGAGTTGTTAGTTTTTGTAAATATATTATGAAATATCAAGAAACTCTTGTCTATTTTCTTAGACCTCGGCGTTTTATAGTCTTAAGTGTTTCTGGCGAA